TTATAGAATTTATTGTTACATATTTAACGTATTGATAATATAAATTATTAAGTTTTTTATTTCATTAAATAATACTGAAATATTATATATACTTTGCAATTTAACTATTTATTTATCCAATTGAGGTGACATAAATTTTTTACATTCTTTTTAATTGATTTTACTACACGGGGGAAGGGGAGGAAAATGATGGAACCTCCACGTCCTACATGGGAACTTAGACTCGAGTCATTTCATTTTTAAATGAATGTCTATAAGAGTCAAATGAATTATAATAAAAGTCCAATTTTATCATGTAATATCTCCTGAATGGATGGAAATTAATTTTTTTGACAATCATATATTCTACATAATCACATATATAGAAAAGAGTTGTTTGTAGATTATAAGAACATGTTTTTTTCCTCTCATTTGAAAAACTCGTATAAAGTGAAGTAATTATAAGTTAGCATACAACGCAATTATCACAAAGAAGATCTATGGCAATATGCCGCTCAGTTAATTAAATTTTCATCAATTTGGGAGATGATGAATGACAGTAATGAAATTTGAAATCAAATCGAATTTCAATTTTCCAATTGAAACAAATTGGAAGAATTTGATTTGAAATATTAATTGATAGAAAAATGTGTGGTTAATAAGTAAGGAGAATTTTTAGATTTATGTGTAGTATTATTTTATTGATAAAATGTGTGATTGAAATGAAGAAAGAAAAAATAATAAAAAAGAGAATAAGAAAAAAATAAATGTCAAACAAGGACAAATTGCAATTTAACAATTCATTGTGATTCTGTTGAAAAATCATCAACTCGTTTTTCTTATTTTGCCAAACGGTGTGGGGCAGTCCAGGTGGCGCATGCGGTGTCAGATGCCCCGACAATATGGCGCCCCCTGGAGTGACAGGGGCTATCACTCTGGCAAAATCCTTTTCTTATATATATCCCAGCGCAGAACTAGAATGTTACAGTGATTTTTCTGCGGGAATTATTGTTTGTTTAAGTGAAAATTTCGGAGTGTAAGTAAAGAAAATGGAAAATGGTAAGTCTGCATTATGTTCTTCAGGTCGAGTTCCAAAAATTGAAAGGAAAATTGCTGAGAAGAACAGAAGAGATCGGATGAAGATTCTCTACACGAACCTCCTCTGTCTCCTACCAAATCATGGCTCCAAGGTTTCTC